AAACTAACAGAGATATTAATAAGCATTTATTAGTGTAAGTGTAATGCATATTTAATTGATAGATCTTTCTTAGAGAAGGAACAGAAATCTATCTTTAAACTGTTTCCATTATTTTTCTCCTGTTAAACAGACGTAAAGGCATGTGGGAACATTCCAGGGTTATATAAAAGCGATGAACTATTTATAGTAAAGCATGCATTGCACCCATTTGAAATTGATCAACATCTGTTCCTCCAGACTTTGCTTGAACCTCTCTCTTGTACCTTTTTTTGTGATTTGTCTTTTTCACCTTATTTAACACATATACAACGTTCTCTTTTCACCCAATACTGAGCATAGTCGAAAACATGTTTGTTTACTTTATCCTTAATATATTAGTCTGCGCCTTTTTATTTCACAATAAAAAGATTTTTATTTCTCTTTTTGTGTTGTACAGTTGCAGCAGTATGCTTTAGAATGTTGAGAGGGTTACTTCCACGTTGTTGGAGGTTTTTGCTCAAACTTATGTGGTACTGCTTCCTAACTTTTCTTATTGCATATTCAAAATACTAACCCAATTTGTTCATTATTAGATCATATCTATCTAATTCATGGATGTGGTTTGCATATTCAAAATACTAACCCAATTTGTTCATTATTAGATCATATCTATCTAATTCATGGATGTGGTTTGGTACTGTTTACATCCCTTGATTTTCCTTTATTTGTAAAATGGTAGGTTCTGGTTTTATAGATTTGTAATTAAGCACGTATTAGATTTTCCCTTATTACCTCATACAAAGTATATCAGGATCCTGCTAGAGATGTGAACTGGTACATGGATATTCAGTGTCCCTTCATTTAATATATAAATATGCATAAGGGTAGCATTGCACTATCCAGAAAAATTTGAGGACACGGACTGAAGTTTATAGACAGATAGACATGTATGCACTTTTGTTCATTTTTAACTCAAGAAGGAACTGATATCGAAGACCGAACTTACTTTTCTTTACAATCGGTTTATAATCAGTAATAATTGGCAAACATTGGTGCTTCACCTGTCTGAACTCAATTTCAGCAAATATGATTTCTATATTTGAATTTCACTTCAGAAAAAATTTCAACTTTTGAACAATACAAATGAACAAAACAAGTACAGTATGCTACTCACTAGCTGCCGCATATATGCTCTGGTTCATCTACTTTCTGCAAGTTATTGCTCTTCTATGTTCTGAGAATGTCTTTTGCCTTCCCTAAACTCTGCTTATGGATATTATTATATGTAGTATTCATGGTGGAACGAATATGTTATATTTCAGGTATCTGTTTTCCATTGTGACTCGTACTTGCAAATAATTTGGTAGGAGGTTCTCAAAGTGTGGAAAGGGAGGAGCAAGTGGGGTCATGGGTGCAATTCTAGTCTCTGAAACTTCCTGGAGGAAAGCTGAAGGTACTGCTTACACTTACACTGCATCCTTTATTAGACAGTGGAACTTTACAGAACAATTTGGTTATCATTTGGATATCCTATTTAGTAAGATTTGGATATGGATGCAGGATCACATATGGATATAGACACAATAATGTGTACATATGCAATACACATATGAAGACTTGACTATTCCCAGAAAATGTCTTAATTAAATCATTCCCAGTCAAACTCAGCATTTGGCAATCCACCATGTGGAAGATCCACGCTTTTGAAGTTGATGTACATCATCTCAAGCGCCTAAAATTAAAAATTATGTTGAAAATTTTCTCTTGCCCTTATATTAACAAAATGCAAAACTGAAGGCTAAATGAACAATCCATCCAAATACAGTGTTTGGCACATCAGGGTCAAGTAATCCACTGAATTAAAATTGATCATCTAAAGTGTCGAAAAGCAATATGTGAAATGAACGATTTAAATAACATGGTAGTTTATAAATATTGGTTTATGAAAGTTTTCAGTGTTTATATCAGGATCAAATATTCATTTAAAAAATATGTATAATCTATAGAATATATCTAAATTAAACAACATCTAAGGACATGGAGTTGTGTTCACTTGATGCATGGGCGATAAAAATTCAAACGTCGTTTTTTTATTTACAGTCACTTTATATGGTATTGTAGGCTGTCTAAAAATCACAATAGATAGTTGATCCCCATCAAAACACCAATGATAGAAGTTACAATCTGACGACTTTCAGAATGTTACAATTTGAAGACTTTTACGTAGGTTGATGAAGGTTACAATCTGACGACCTTCACAACAATTGATGAAAGCTCTAATCAACAGCCTTCACAATCAACATCGAGAGTTACAATCTGACGACTCTCATATTCTCAAGGAGCCAAGATGAAGATTACAAGACAATGATCTTTGCAACGCTATGACAAAAGAGATTACTTGTTGATAATTTCTTCGAAGCAAGACGCGGAACTCATCACTGCGCTCTAAGACCAAAACGCAGAGGTCATCCCTGCACATCAACACCAAAATGCGGAGTTCCTCCCCGTGTGTCAACATTAAAACGCTGGGGTCGGACCCACGTTGCAACATCAAAACGCCGGAGTCGAACCTGCGTTGTAACATCAAAACGCTAGGGTCAGACCCTCGTTTTTATGTTTGACTGGTTCAAACAGAACCTGAATGGTTTTAAAACCGTATCTCCACTTAATGGGGACGGTTACACCCCATTATGAAGCTATTTTAGGGGGAATTACACCCCTTAAACCCGTGAACAGTTCCAAAACTGTTTCTCATGATTGGAGGGCGGTTACACCCCACTTAGGAGTGATTTAAGGGATAGTTACACCCCCTTAATCCTCTATAAATAACTAAAAATTAATTCAGTTCAAGGGTTCGAGCAGAGGGGATTTGGCTCTCGGTTGGGTAGCAGCAGAAGAGAGCAGAGGGGATTTGGCTCTCGGTTGGGTAGCAGCAGAAGAGATCATTGGGCAGGCTTTGGAGGAGATTGGTTGGAGAGAGATACTTGGCAACAAGAAGATCTTGAAGCATCCTTGAGCAACAGCTTTCACCTTGGCTTATTAACCGAACTTTCAGTTCAAATCAACTCTTTTACAGAGTTCTTCTAAACTCGTTCAGATTTCTAAAACTTTCCACGCAAGTTCTCCACAACGTCAAATCGCGAGGAGAGGACATCGTTCCAGTGAAGCAAAACATCGGATCGTCAACGGAGAGCAAATTCGACGCAAGCAATCGAAGGAGGCACTCTATCACCACCGTAAAGAACCCAGTTTTAAGCAAAGGAGAGAATCAAATTCGTTCTCCTCTCTTTTGTAATCGGAATCCAAATTGTAATTGAGATCGAAGGAATACAAATCAAATTTTCTTTCATTCTTTTTACTACAAATTTTTAACAAACAAAAGATGACGACTCTGGTGGGGAAGAGCTTCTCTGACGAAGAAGTGGTGGTGCAATCCGATGTTCATCTCACTGGAACGACCGTCGAAATTCTCGTGATAGAGTTTGATCAAGCCAAGTTTGAGGAGTCCATCTCCTCCGGATCCCTTAGCCCCAAGGCTATGCGCAAGATCCGCAAAATCTTCAAGGAGACTAAAGCTCCAAATCTTGCTCCTATGCCGAAGGAAGCCCTCTCGTTTAGCCAAGATTGCTCGAACAACCTCTCCTCTGAAGGAGTGGGCTCAGCTTATGCTAAACGCAGCCCTCTGTGGCGCGTTGTGCAATCAAAACGCAGCCTTCAGAGGCACGTTCCAACATCAAAACACAGACGTCGAAATTGCGTTGATCTGGCAGAACGCAACTCTCAGGAGTGCGTCTCAGAACCAAAACGCGACCCTCATGTCGCCAAACCAAAACGCGACCCTCATGTCGTCAAACCAAAATGCGGACCTCGCGTTTCAAGTGCTAAACGCGACATTCGCGTTTCAAATGCCAAACGCGACCTTCACGTCTCAAGTGCCAAACGCGACCTTCGCGTCTCAAGTGCTAAACGCGACTCTCTCGTCCCAAGTTCCAAATCCAATACAGAACCTGATGTATATATCGTGAAGCTTCGGGGCGCTGCCCCGAACCCCGCCAGGGGGTATTCCATCCCCCTCGGACCCCCCGGTCAGGGGCGCGCCGCCCCCTGGACCCCCGAATACTCTGCGTAGCGTGACTAGATTGAGGGGCGGATATAAGAACATGGATTCAAGGCATCTCAACCAGATCCATGTTCACCAAGAGTCAGTCCTGTCCAATCATGGACTGGGGGTTCCAATTCAAACCTCACAATCAGTGAGTAATTCTCCTCGAATCTTTACAACAGATTTGAGAGAGTTCATATCGAGAGAAAGACCGATACAACAAGTCATTCGTTCATTCCAATGTGAACGATTGATTCCTACGGTCCTTTCGAGATGTCAATGCTGCTCATATGCGGCCCAACTGTTGGTGTTCAATCAATTTACGAACGTTGCTTTGCCCAACCAACGACGACGTTCTCACAGGAAGAAGTCTCCAGAGACCGAATATCCTGGGGTCACTATCAATATGATCGGTAGAAGGAATATCTTAGATCCTAGTTCCGATGACTCTGAGACAAGTCGTTCACCGACCGTTAGAGAAATCACTAACGAGTTTGAAGGAGTCTACCGACACACTCGGACTCGAACGGGAGCCATTCTCCCTGTCAATTATCGGAGGTTAGCCAGAGGAATCAATTCCGATGATGAACACTCAGCCATTGCAGTGTCCCAATCATCAAGCTCTTTTGTTGAACATGAGAGTGTTTTCGCCAAAAGTTGGTTTTGTTGTCGAATTCATTATATCTTCGGTCGATTACAATAAATTCAAAGAAAACAGCCTTTTTATAAGACTCTTTTACACAACAAAAAAAAAATTACAACTCTTGAGAAAATAAACGCAGGATCGTTGTTTGGATCACTGCTTTCGTGTGATCATTGCCTGTGCCGGGAGCGCTTTGACTCGTGGACCACCAAATCACAGATTCTGATTGAACCGTGAGGGGTTTATGATTCTGACTTCGTTTATCGAAGTGAGAAATTGAAACGATATCTTATCGATGTAAAATAGTCGTTCTTCTTGAAATCAAGTCAAAGCCTGATTATCAAGGATTGGCCGTAAGATCAGCACCTCTGCTCTCTCTCTGCTCTGGATTGCTCTCAAGTGCTCAAAATGATCAGCCCCCTGAGAAAATAGCCTTCGGGGAGTATATATAGCCTCTAGGAACAATTGGCAGAAAACAGGTTCGCGAGACAACATTTGCTGTCTCGGCGGGCGAGACAGTGTTTGCTGTCTCGCTGGTCGAGACAGTGTGACGGGCGAGACAATGTTTGCTGTCTCGGCCCGCGAGACAGTAAACACTGTCTCGGCCCGCGAGACAGTAAACACTATCTCGCGGAACAGTAACCGCAGGCAGTTTTCATCTTAACTGCCTTCCCACGTTTCAAACTCCGTTATTTTGGCAGTTATCCACGTGATTCTCGCCCACGACGTTTCCCACGTTCTTGAACAGTTAGTGGCCACGTGTCGACGGTTGCAAAACAGTTTCTTGAACCACTGATAACTGTCTCGTGTGCGAGACAGTAAATTCTGTCTCGCACGGCGAGACAGTAAATACTGTCTCGCAGGGGCGAGACAGTGAAAACTGTCTCGCGGGGGCGAGACAGTGAAAACTGTCTCGCCTGGGCGAGACAGTAAAAGTCTGTCTCGCCGGGCGAGACAGTAAAGACTGTCTCGCCAGGTGAGACAGTAAAGACTGTCTCGCCTGTGAGACAGTCTATACTTGTGTTCTTTTGCCTTTTTGGATGATTTCCTCTTGAGCTGTATTTGGATATCTTTCAGCATTTTTTGACGCCTACAGATACCCCCTCCAAAGTATTCCAGACTCAATCTTTTATAGAGGAGTTCTGGGATGCTTTGGATAAGATAGATCTTACTTACGATCCTTTCAATGCTTGGTTGAGTAGATCGTGTAGAGGAACCCGTAGGTGGCTTCAACTTTTGATCTCTTTGTCTCTCAATCTATTCAGTGCTTTGTAGAATAGTTAAGATTCTTCCGGCATCGCGTTTATCGCTTGTCCATTGTAGAGATCTTGAATTAAAGCTGGAACTTGTACTTGTGAAATCAGCTCTTGTCGTCAAGTTGACACTGCATATACCCGTTTAGGGGTAGTCAGGTTATTCTCAAGAATATTTTAACTGATATTCTCCAGAAACTTCCTGTTGAGGGTAGGAAAACAGTTTAGACTCGTGTACCTAGTTGGAGTATTCAGGTTATTCTTAAGAATATTCTGAGTAATATTCTCCAGAAACTTCCTGTTGAGGGTAGGAAAACAGTTTAGACTCGTGTACCTATTGGAGTATTCAGGTCTCTTTTTGTTGGTAGAGATGAACCCAGAATCGGAGAGGAAGAATTTTATATTCTATCTCCTGGTCTCTTGTTTGTTGGTAGAGATAAACCCGATGATGGAGA